AGTCTTATGGCGCCGAGAAATCCAAACACTCGAAAAGTTACGAGTCTTCCGGAACAAAGCGCTTCGCGATCCATCGATCCACCCATCCCCGTTCTTTCGTAATCCTGCCTCGAAGCATTTTAATTGATTTTCGCGCGACAATCCGGCCATGGCAGAAGACAACGGGCTTTGATTTATAGCTCCAATACGGTCGAACGGGACACTGGAAGAGGCAAAGCTTTCCCGGACTTCTCGAGCCATTCACCACGATCGAAATTCATCACGCAAATCTACCGCAAGGTAATTATGCAATGACGAAACGAACCAAAGCGGTTAATTATTTCGCGTCTAAAGGATCGACCAGCGGTAACTGCCGTTTCTGACCGCTTTACGCCAAAAGGTAATTACGGATTTCAATCTCCTGGCTAATAAATAACGCGAAACAAATGACCTTTACGCGATTCGATTCGCTACCGCGCGACCGTAAACCCCGATAGCCAAAGTGTGAAAAGAGATGTCCAATTTCCGAACAATTTAGCCGCATGACATTTTGGTTAAAAAGACACTTTCGAGCGAAATAAGATTTCTGCGAGATGCTTCACTTTGTGGGACACTTGGACGAGGAGTCGTAAACGAAGAGTCGAACTGCTGTTAGAGAACTATCGTGTTTTATACCGACAGTAACCCGAACAACTGTATGACGAGTCGTTCCTGTCCCGAATACCTCATTTTTGAAAGGACATACGCTACAGATTTTTCACGAATAGCAAAGGGAATAGGGATGCGAAGACGGTTCTAAAATTACGCGATTCCTCTCCGAGCATAAATCGCGGGTAAATTCCGAGTAAAAACACCGAGAGAATCCCGAAAAACGGGAAAGAGAAGAATTAGCGGACGAACGTGCTATCCAGGCGAGAAATTAGAAACGTCTGAAGCTAGAAAAATTACAAACTTCGACGAGGATAAGCGTGACTGCGAAAAAACACTGAAATATCTTCGAAACGAAGTTCGGAGAAATCACGAGAGAAACAAGCGGAATGTCGAAGGTTCAAAGAGAGAGTCTGGATCCGAACAACCCCTGAAATTGCCGCTGTTTGTCTAAGCCAAACCTCTTCACCCAAATACCCCAGAAATCGAGGTAACGGGGTCATACTTGCCACTAGAATTTATTTCTCTCGAAACACTCGCGACTTTCCTACGCGTGGATGAATTGCATCGTTTGAAGCGCGCGCTTTTATCGTTAAACGTGCCACTACTGCGATATTCCGCCCCCTTCAACCCCTATCCTCTCATCCTCAAACCCATCGCTCCACGTCCACGTGTGTTTCATCTTTGAATTACCCAGTTCCGACACCTCGCTCGGTTGCATCCTCCGGGGACTTTTTCATAAAAGCCATCTTTTTTCTTATCTTACATTTTTAGAAATTTATTAGTATGTCAGAGATTATATTACCAAAGAGCAAACTTGTATAAAGTCCCAAAATGTTAAGCTGTCCCAAACTCTCAAGGTTCCAAACTAACTTCAAAAATAGTAAGCTAACTCCCAAAACGCCAGAGTCCCAAACTCCGAAACTCTCAAAGAAGCAGTCGATACGTTAACATGGCGAGATGTGTGATTAGCGGTTTCCTCGAGTTTGAGGAAAAAGGCTTTCAATTTCTTTGGAAGAGCTCCGATAAGTTTGCGATGCGTAGCCTCGTCAGAGTTGAGGAAGCTCCGTGGAATTTCGTGTCCCAGAAACCCGTAGGAAGTTTCGCGGTCCACGTATCCTTGGATCTATTCGTTAAGCAACTTCGCTCGTGTTCTATTCATGATTTCTCCTAAACTTTTCCCTCTCAAGGTTAATTTTCGCTGCGCGTAAGAAGCGCGGTCTAATTGCGCCTCGCCTTCGGAAGAAGTCGGATAATTTTCGGAAGATTACTTCGCCACTTTACGTTAGGAATCGAGGGACAAAGAAGCGGACGAATTTCTTTTGCCGACGTAACGTCGAATTCTTACGGTTCCTTACTTTATCGAGGTTTCCAATACGGGACTTCTCCAGACGTTTTATCCACGGAGCAACTTCATTACTCGCCCGCATTCCTCGCGCGATCTAACCAAAGAAATTCACTACGGGGACAAACTATCCGGGCCAAAGAGCGTACAAACGAATCGTTTCTCGCCTTTGCCCTTCATATTTCCTTTCCGTTTTCCTCCAAGCGTAATTCCTCGAGACGCTTCGTTGGAGAACGGTCAAACGAATGCAACGAAGTAATGTGAATTCGTTAAATTAAACACAAGCAACACGCTCGTTCGGTCACGTAACGATTCATAATTAGCACGACGCTATTTTCCATTGCGGCTGTTCTGTCAGTGAACGATCACAGAGACGGCACAGGATAATTTAATCAGGGGATACTGGACGCGCAAACAGACCCATAAACTAACGCCAACGATCCTCGCTTCGATCGATACGATTACCTCCGCTTCTCTGACCGGAAGAAGAGTTCCGGTCTATCCGATTAATGTAGATTACCGATCGGAGAATAGGTGGTCTCTGTCCGCCATGATTTATAAATGAAAAGGGGACCACGTTGACTGGCACGGCTATTACTTTATAATTGCTACTAAAAGGAACCGCATCGATTGAGATACGGAGGAAATTGGCAGTTATATACGAACGCATAAAAGATGAGGCTATCGTGTCAAACGCGCCACAGGCCCGTCCGCGATCACGAACGCTGTGCACAGATATCGACGATCACCGATAGAACGCACGCTCCCAATTCGCGATGCTCGATCGATCCTGAAACCCACCTCACTGAATCCGCGATTAAACGCAGTTACACCGTTACACTTTTTTTGGACGACTGTAAAATTCGCAACCGATTTATTCATACGTTCCGAAACCGTAAAGAATCAAATGCGAGCAGCAAATTTCGAGTACCTCCACCCTGATTATCATCGGAGAACGTTTGCTAACTGTAGAACATGAAGATCCTGACGCCCACCTCATTGAATCCGCGATTAAACGCAATTACACCTTTGTTGAACAATGATCACTGTAAAATTCGCAACCAATTTATTCGTCATACGTTTCGAAACCGTAAAGAGTCACATGATTCTGCGAGCAGCAAATTTCGACCTCCATCTTGATTATCATCGGAGAACGTTTGCTAACTGCAGAACATGAAGATACGCGAAGAGTTCACCTTTAAAATACAGAGTCGACGTTGAACGTATTCGACCCGGAACGGGATTGCGAGAGATGCGAGGAGAAATAAGGAACGACAAAATAGCAGCACGGATATCGAGGATTTTAGGAAGTCCATACCGTGAACCAGTCTTTCGAATAAGACCGGTCGCATCCGATTCTGGAAAAAGAGTTTAGAAAGCGTCGGAAAGCATACGATTTTCTTCAAAGTCCTCGCAGATCGACTACTCCGACAACGAAGTAGCGCAAGAAGCCAGAGTTACGTTCCCAGAAACGATCAACGAAATGTACTTTCGATAATGTGCGCTGCTCGTGCAAAGCGTACGACAAGTTGAAAAACTTTCGTTCCCAAGAGACTTTAAATTGTCAATCCCTTCGGCAAGTACTTTCGAACATACGCAGTACACCGGAATTTGCAAAAATTTTCGACGAAATTACGGTTCGTTGAACAAGGTAGTAATTGATTAAAAATTCAGCGGAGGTCTTTAGCGGAGTTCGAACTCGACGTTTCGAAACGTTTCAGGTTTTTACAACGAATCGACTCTGTAATTGCTTCGCTTTTACCTCGCAAGGATTTTTATATTGTAGCGTAGAACCTTTTAAAATTATTAAACAAACGATAAAGAGCAAATAATCGTTGGGAATACAGCGATTAAAAAGGTGAAGCAAAAAGTCGAAGAGAAAAAGAGCATAAAATTTGGCGCATGGGAAACATCGACGGTAAAGAGCGAGAAGAATAGCAAACGGTGCAGAAAACGGGGTCGCGGTCCGTGCCGACAGGCTTCGGGCCACTAGCTGCGCTCTCGATAAACCGCGTCCTACCGAAATTTCCAAATCCTAATTGCGGGGAAATGGTGTGTAACGGTGTGAAATATTATCCGGAAAAAGGCGCTGACTCTTATTACTCGGCCGTTCGAGGAATCTTTTAATCCGACGACGTCTTCCTCCACGACCCTCCGCGTCCGCCGGAAATCGCTGACCCGCCATTTCCGCTGCCAATCTGTTACGGACGCGCGAATCCGACCCCATGAAAACAGCCGGGTTTAAAGGAACGATCACGTTTGCGTAGCCTTCCCTTCCATCATGCTTCACGTCACTCGTGGTTGTTCGCGCGACGTTGAATTTCATAAAAAATGGACGGCCCCGGTTGAAAGTGGCCAGAACCGACTTTTCGTTAACGTTCTTTCAACGAGAAGAAAGAACAGGAAGCAGCCCGTCGAGCGAAGATTTTTCCCGTGTTTCGGACAGGTTGATTCCAATTAAGAACCGCAATCTCGTTAGCGCGAAACGAACCGCGACTTAATTTTAATCTCAAACAGCGGCTAAACGTCGTTGTTCGTCCTCTCTGTTTGCCTGACGTCCTCCTTGTAATTCCGCTCCGTTCCCTCGCCAGCAATATGCAAGGCGTGGCGAAAGTTTCGCGATCGCGACGCTTCTCTCCTTATTAGGGATCTTTTTTCCGAGCGACTATCGGGACTCGAAGCAGGTCGAGCGTCACGGTGTTACGAAGCCACCGAGTTTAAACTATTTCTCCTCCGGCGGATTTGCATTTGCACGTAGAGGAATCCTGGCAGGGCGATATGCTCGACAAGAGTAATCTGGATGCATCGGCAAGGCGTGATGCGCGCGACAGCGTCGTAACGCGGCGAGGCGTGTTGCTCGCGAGCGCGGCGCGGCGCAGGCGTCGAGCCCAGGAACGCTCGTCAGTCTTCGGCCGAACTTGAAACGCGTGGCTTCGCGTTTTCCTCTCCTCTCTTCCTTATCTTCAACCCTCTTCGCCGAATCCTCCTCGCGCCAAAAATATCGGCACGCGCTCTTTTTACCGCCCGTGTAAGCGTGCCCCATCTCGCGCCGGACGAATGTCGCTTCACGCTTGGATCCGCAACGTTGGATCCCCGCCGACAGAAATTCGTACGTACGCAACGTGTGTACAATGACTTGTTGGTCAGCGCGATTCAGTTTGTGACGAACACGTTTCTTGTGCATAAAGGTGCCCTCTGTCGATCAGATTCTTCCGCCCGCCAACAAGTCACCTCTGCACTGTGGAATTTCGGTGACATCGCGGTTACCGTGTCAAAACCGTGTTCACGCGTGGGATTTTTTACTTTACGAGCATAATAAGCTTCTATCTTTATAGACGAATTTTACGTATCCTTTCTACGAGTGTAGGAAGAATTTCATTTCCCATTGCAATTCCATTGCTTTCACGATCCATTTGCTGCTTCCGATCCATCGACCAGTCGTCGCGATAGAAAATGTATGCGCCCAAAGTGCCGTGTGAAATGGTAGCATTTACAACGTTCGTATTTCGCGCTTCCGAAGAGTAATCGAACGAGTGATTTCGACCGCAGAATCACTTCACAATCTTAATTTACAAATTCCTATCTTTGAAAAATGCCCAAAGACCCTTTTCCTCGCAGTTGGAACTCTCGATTATCTTCCGTTTCTTTTTAGCGACGCCGGTCATGTCACGTTGAAGTTTCATTGCACGGTATATGGACGCGAACGGTATAAAATTCAGTTTACGGTCGCGATAATGGACCCGTAAAACAGTTTCACGCAGAACTGGCGGCGCAACGCGCGAAACACCCGGAATGGAGTAACCCGAGGAACGATGCCCGTTCGAAGCACGGCTCTCGATTTCGTCGACAGATAAGCGGTAAGAATTCATTAACATTTTCTATCGCGATAAAATGTATCCGTACATCCCGTCGCAACCTAAATCCGGTGGTGGATCGACGGCGAGAACAAGGTCACGACTGCTCTTTGCAGAGTCGGCGAGTCCCGCAGGGCTTTCTTTCATTTTCGAGAATATTAATATTTCTCCGCCATAATTAGCTATGTATCGTTTTCGAGACGCTATCGCTGGTCCTATACCCGTAACTACCTAGTTCGAGCATTACGATACCGTAATTACACGTCAGAAAGGGGGAGGCAAAGTTTGCGCCACAAATTACAAAGCTGCACAAGCGCTCGAGACAACTCCGTTCCCATAACTGTGCTTCAAAGATAACGGCTTAAAACATTCGCAACGTGTACGCCAGGAATAACGAACAGAATTTACTCGCTTCATGGTTTTTGATCCGATTCGGTTATCGAACTGGCAATTATCGAGTACTTCAACGCGTTGTTTTCGATATAATCGAATAAACCACCTTTCACGTCCAATTTGTTCCACAGTTGAATTACATTTACAGAATAAATCATCTAATTCTACCTTGTTATGCAAACAGCTTGGACTTTCAAATTACGTAATTTACCTTCCATGCAGTATTTCTTACTACCTTCGACATAAACTTCTAGTGTCTGCACCGTTTGTGCACCAAATTAAAAAATTCCTGTACCAAGTACACAATTAAGTACAAATTCAATTACGCTTCCAGTTATAAAAATAAAGCTTTGTAGAAAATTGTTATACCTGTTGAGAAGCGCATTGAGTACCCACTTCCAGGTAAATAAATTCGAGAATTCGATAAAAGGAAAAAACTAGCGGTTGCGCGCAAAAGGATTACGAAACAGGTGTTACCTCGGAGCGCAAAGAACGTATAATTTAATAACACCCGTTGTTCTTTACGCGAATTTTTATTCCGGCAAAGTTCCAAGCGAGCCAGTTTCATTAATCTAAGGGCGGACAAAGGCAATTCGTAACCGCGTGCTTGAACGATGCGTTTGAAAATTGTTCGAGGCGACAAGTTCTTAATGGAAGTTCGGTAATGAGATAACGTGAAAAATCACGCTCGCCTACGCGACGCTCCCCCTTTAATTCCCTGACTGCGATTTATCTCGGAACTTTCTCCCAGACACGCGATACGTACGTTGTAATTTAGTTTGACGGTGAAATCCACCCCCCGTTTCGATCATTTTGATCGCGGAAAGTTGCCCGGGAAATATTCCATTTAACAGTGTTATTCCCCGATTTCTCTGAATGTCGAAGAAGCCCGACCCTTTCATCCCCCAGGCTTTGTTTCTTCCGAGGGGAAAAAGGAGGATCTAATCGTCCCTCGGAGAACCTGGATTCAGGAGAAAACAAAACGAAAGTTTTTCTATCGAGTCCACTGAATATGTAACTTTCAAAATTCCGAAAAATCGATCATTCGGATTGTTGTTCCATCGGAACGAAGCTAAACGTTTTATAGGAAGGAAAGAACGCGTTAACGCGCAACAATGGGTGAACCAAGTGCACCGCGAGATAAATGATTCCCCGTAACGCGAAAGAGATCGGAAATAAATCACGGATCCAGGTTGTAACCGACAACGGGTGATCGACTCCCCTCGAAGAATAAGATAGATATCGGAATGGATAACATCGAGTCGAAACGTCCGATCGGATAGTTTCCGATTATTGTATCGTGTGGACCCTCGATCTTCTAAACGACGCGTATTCGTTCTCCGATCGTTTTCTCGTAAATCGATCCTATTCCGTCTTCTGCAAAAACAGCCCGCGAACGTTCATAAATAATCCTCCACATGTTTCAACGTTTAATAACGAATGTTCCTCCGGTTTCGCATTTCAAATCGTACATTATGAATCAGGTGAAGTTACATTCAAAATGCAGATTTCGAAAAGCAAAATTAATTAACGACGCGGGATGAAATATTAAGGCGAAAGAAAAAATGTGGGCAAGCGAAAAACAAAATGAGGCGTCTGACGCTGGAGTCAGCTAGACTGGAATCCGAAAGAACGAGTGCAAGGGAATAACAGGGAGGAAAAGCTCGAAGGAAGTGGATATTTCGCTCGGAGAGAATTTGAATAAAAGCAGCAGCTAGTATCCTGCTCTTTCGCGCTCTCCTCTTCTCCTTCGTTTCCCGTCGTCCTTTCAACCCTTTGCGCTCGAGAAGAAACGCAAGTTCCGCGCGTGGAAACTCGTAAAAAGCGGAGGCCGAGCGACTTCTCGACAGCTGCGGTTTGCCCGCAGTCCCTTTTTCCGTTCGCTTCAAAATTCGACCAACTTATTTCGCCCATGTTCGATGGATCAAAGTTGCTTCATTGTTAAACGTCTGCTCGAAAATCTAGAACTGGAAGTTCGTAGACGGACTTTTATTTAGACGAAAATAGGATTGCGACTATTAGGTTGGATCCCGAGAAAAGAGTTTCTTTATATTTTCTATTTTCTGTCGGTGTACTGTAAAGAAACCGTGCGTGGCAAACATTCCCGTCGAGGCAACGGTCCCGCAAAGTCAGTTATCGTTTTCCGGGACCCCGTTTATCCGATATCCAACCGAGTAGAATATTCTGTTTCCCTTCCGTGTCCATTTCCCGTCTTTTATTATACACATCGAGTCTTACGAGACGAATCTCTACGTGCGAAGCATAGAGTAAAAATTTAAACACAACCTTCTAAAACGGGAAAGGCGGAAAATTGGTTAGAGTCCGTTATTCGTCGAATAGCTCGAGCTAATTTGATACCAGACGTATTGGATGTCCCTGGATTTTAGACAACGACGTAGAATCGGACCCAGCAATCGTCAGCAGCCGCGCGGTTATCATCTTCACCCGAGGATTCCTTGTCCGTCCAATATCCGAGAGAATATTCCGTTTCCTTGGGTTCTGCTATGCTCTACACTCGATTCAGCTCGAGTCACCCTCTCGATGACCACGTACGCGAGCTCGTATCCTGCACGCGGTCCGAATTGTCTTCCAAGCTGTCCGCCGCACGGCTCGTAGCAAGAAACTCGCGAAAAAGTTGCTGCATTTTCCGCCGCACGGGTAAACGGACCTCGCCTAAACGAGCTTTCAAGCGGAAAATTGATTTCATCGAATCGCGTGCTTTCGTTCTCTCGTTGTTCCCCCGAAACATCGTTTACTTCGATTATGCCGGAAACGATCGCGTAGGATAATTTCGACGTAACATCTGTACCGATATTAAAGCGGATTTTCAACGACCCCTCGGATCTGAAAACAGGGGAGACTCGGAAGGGCCAAACGACAAAGTTGCGCTCGTTTTAACCCTGATTATCATAAATAGCATCTGTAATCGGTGTTTCGATGGGCAGTGAGGCCATAACACGTCGACCTTACGTTCGAAGATTTCTCTTTTAGATAACGCGTATCGTTGATACGAATCGCGGATAAAAAGCGATTCTCCCGACCGAGAGTCTCACGACCATAAATGCCGTGGTGCAGCGGAATAAACGAGAACCGCGAAAAAAGCTGGTAGTGTAGTACAATCAAGAGGAGAAACAATAGACAAATTGAACGTTCGATGAACCGTGCGAAACCTCGACCGCCAACTTGGTTTATCGGGACCAGATGCAACTGTATCCGTTACCGACAAGAATTTCAACGCGAAAACGGGACCAGCTAATTCGAGCGAGAACCGGGTACGTTCGATCGATCGATCGGTCGAAAACACGGTCTAGAATCTAGAAGGTGCAATTTCCATTGAAACTCTACCGCCGCGGAGGAGCGAGTTAACAGGAACGCCATTAGCATAGTTTGTGGACTAGGTTCGGTTAATTTCGCGGCTAGCAGTCAGCTTTTGTTCCTTCCATCGCGCCGAACGTCAATCCTTTTCCAATTCCCATCGATTCGCGTCTTCGTGCCGATAGAAAACCGAACACTTCGATTTCCCATTCTCGACAAGATCGTCCTGAAATATCGATTGTTTTTTTTTTCTTTCCCACCGTTTTATCGCCCCGGAATAAATTCGTATTCGCGGTGACAACCATAGCGGTGCATTTAACGCATTGCAGGTCGTCGTACTTCCATTCGTTATCGGGAAGCTCATATTGTCCAGCCGTAAAGGACACGGTTGGCTGCAAAGGACTCGAGCTTCGAGCTTTTTACTGATGGCTTTTACCGTTTATACAGTGTTAATACCAGTCTCGCGTTTCCACAGCTGTAACGACTCTTTTATCTTTCATCAACCGCTGTCGGCGATATTTCTAAGCCAAGCCACTTAGTCCGCGTTTAAAAGTTCACTTGGCAATTGCTGTACTCGCGGGTATTCAATTTGGGAATTTGCAATCATGTTTTTAAGTACAGTTGCAAATATCTGATTTTCGAACTTTCCAATCCCCAGAGAGCGTGCGATACCATGATCTTTCGAGTGGACATAAATGTACCTACCATTGGTTTAATTGAACGAATTCCTCTCCACACGGTCTAAGTTATTATGCATGTGAATTTCCCGCAAGGGACCGTTTCAATTTCTGTCCGAACATATTTATTAAAAGCTATTAATTGATTCAACGCTGTATAGTCGCGACCGACACGCGATTCCTGTTATTTTATTTAACTCGCTGAATAACCAGCTAGCCGGTCAGCCACTCCGCCGACATAAATTTCGTCGAGCCACGCTGCTGACAGTCTCTTCCAACTCGTAATATAAAACTTCGTTATCACGGACAAAAACCACTCGGATACTATTTTCATTTGTTGAGAACGTTGCGCGACGTTTCCGCGAACCCGGAATAAATTGGCGAGACAAAGCGATGTTCCAATAACGGCCGGCTATTCGTTACGTTAATGATTTTCGAGAGAATTGAAGCTTTGCGACTCGTATTCGAACCTCCTCTCGTAAACACTTACGATAAAACACGTGAAACCTCTTCCGAACACATACGTTTTCATATACTTTTCCGAGAAGAACTTGGTTATGCAAGAAAACTTGTAATCCCACTTCGATTAATTAGTTCCGGATTTCTCGAGAACCGTCT